TTAATTCCTCTAACATGCACAGGTGTTGAGAATCATAAGGAGTTGAAGGCAGGATGTTATTACAGATCAGTAGCTCCCAGTCCTGGCCTTGGAGGCTCACATACCTGGTGGGTTTTGTTCCAGCAGGGCTCTGTTACACAATCGAGACTTTAATTGACTGTTTGACTGTTTTCAGCTCTTAAACTTGTTGGATGGCACCTTTAAACCACCTCATTTCAGAAGTAGAATGAAATCCCAAACGTCTGGGTAGAATAAAAAGTTATTCTAATCAAGTAACTCTTTTAATTAACAACAACGACATCAACAACAAGTTTTATTTATAAAGTGCCTCTTGAAATCTATGGATGCTGTACATCATGAATAAAGAAACAAGACAAAAACAAAGTCCAATAAAAGTAAATGAAGAAAAAACAAAACAAACAAAAAAGAGCATACAGGTTTTTAGAGATTGACTGTAGGCACTCAGACGTAGACCTTGGTGAATAGGTACATTTTAAATTTAGGTTTGAAGAGAGTTAAAGAAGGTGTCTCTCTTGAAGTCTGAGGAAGGTCATTCCACAACCCTAGAGCAGGGACAGAGAAGGCACGGTCACCGATAGTGAACGGAGCTTACAGGGTGGAGTATAAACATGGGGGAGTTCAGAGATGTGTGATGGAGCCAGATTGTTTAGAGCCTTGCAAGTCAGTAACAAGATCTTGTATTGAATACGTGACCTTATAGGCAGCCAAGGTAGAGACTCAACTGTGGGAATGATATGCTGCCAGGGTCTGGTGTGAGCACATGCAAGTAGTCTAGCTGCAGAGTTCTGAAACATTCAACTCAGGCTCCAGTTAGGTGCTTAAGCTGGGCTGCAATGAGAGCCAGCAGGTGTGTTTGAGAATCCCTGTTCCAGATGACCTGTGTTTGACCCCTACAGCTTCTGTCTGTGTAGAGAAGGATTCCAGGTATCAGAGGGAGAGATTTATAAGCAGGGTGAAAGTCATGTCCTGATTCTGGGAGGTGTCGAGACTTCTGGGACATGGGATCTCTTTGTATTCCTTTCAGCAGCCATGCTTTTGCTCCTTACTGCAGGTATTATTGGTGCTTTATTCCGCTCATGATATTATCCAAAGCGGATTATTTGTGCAGCTGGGTATTTCACTGGAGCAGTCTGAGAGAAGCTCCACGCTCAAAGGGACAACAGCAGCACCTCACTTGGCATTTGAACCCACAGCCTTCTGGTGACAGACGCAGAGCCCGAGCCACTTCGCCACAGAGCTGTGCAAGCGCCTGGGCTGCCCCTCCGTCGTATGGGTCACTCTCAGGGAAGGCTGTGGTGCTCGGGGGGAGCTGACACGAGTCACATCCCTTGTACCCGTGTATACCTGGTACACCTGTGTTTCTGTGAGGACAAACCCCAGCGACTGTTGTGGTGGGACGAACGAGCAGCTGGCTTCACACCTTCATGTGAGGCTGAAGTGGTAAAGTAGGACAATAAGGCTCAAGCAGCTACAGCACAGGAATAAAACTTTCATGAGCATGCTTAATTTGCATGATGTGCCGTTTCTTACTTTTACAGTGTTCGGGGTTTCAGTCTTTACTTTTTTTAAGACTTGGGAAGCTTAGATATGAAAATTCTTTTCTTCTTTTCCAGCCCTTAGGCTTTCGGTTTCTGCACAAACCACTGTGTAAATTATTGCGTTCTGAAGCTGTAACAGGGAAAAAAGGCAAAGTTAACAGAAGCAATTTTTCACTTTTGCAGTTTTATTGTGTTTTTAATTGATTCCTGAAAGCTTTCTAAACGTGAGTCATTAGAAGGTTTCCTTAAATTTCATGCTTAGTTTTAAATTTCATTTCTGTTTCATGCTGCAGTCCTACGGAAAGACAAGACAGATTTGAGCACAACATCTCACTAGAACGTCTGCGGTGCTCTTTCTACACCGTGCCCAAGCACTTTAACCTATCCTTCGACAGTAGGAAAAATCATTGTTTTTTACATCGTCTGTTTAAATCCTTCGTTTCTAAGACTGTTTGTGAAGGAAGATATTATTACAAGTCACGCTGGTTCTCCTGATGTGCTGATCCCTTGGCAGCAATGGGAGTCCACACTGTGCGTCGTGTCTGCTGGAAGGGCTCCATTCTGACAGATGGGGACAGTTCCCATGAGGGGCCGTGTGCTCCACAATGCGGTCACTGTCCTCTGTGGCTGCCTGCTCTGCCACGCTACTGGAGTCTGGGGGCGAGCGGGCGTCCCGTGGGCGAGAGGGGGAAGATTTCCAAAGGGTCAAGTCATCCCATGATGGGCTTATTGTGTTACAGGACAGGCAGTCTCCTTTGTTCCTGGATCCTGCATTCTAAAAGTCTTTGAGCTGATGTTGTTTCTTCATTATAATGTCAAAGGGGACCTGTTATTCAATGTGATTTTCCACTGTCTTTGCTCCTTAAACTGAATGAGTCTTTGACAAGAAGCAATATACTTGCTACCAATTTAAATGTAGACTTTCTTGCAATTGCATAGCTTTTAACTTTTAACATCCAGGTTTTCTTTTGTCTCGTCATGTTGGCTTAATAATAATTGAATTTTTATAGCCTGATCCCAGAGGATCCCAAATAATTTGACATATTGGAGGAGAACCACTCCATTCACCACTGAAGTGCAGCCCCCACCCCTGGGTGACAGACAGGAGCTGCTCTGCGCCAGCAGATCACCGATTCTTCCTGCTATGTGTTAGAAATGGCTTCACCGATTCTTCTAAAAAATACTGTTACTCCTTCTACTAAATCTTGATGTTAGTTTTTCAACTATGTCTACACCTGCAGCATGATTAAATTGCAGGTCAGGTGAAGAAGTGAGAAGGAACTTTACAGATGCTGGATTGTACAAATTTACAGTGGTTTTTAGCCATGACACCAGGGCTAGGAGCACATCTATTTGAGCAGTGCCATGGGACCTTTATTGACCAAGCAGTCAGGACTTTGGTTTAGCATATCTTCCGAAGCGCAGCACCTTCATGTAAGATATATTGCCTGGCGGCCGCCAGTGCTGCTTGGCTCTGTAGCTGCAAAATGCATTCACACAGGTTTTTTCCAGGATGAATTATTCCAGCAGCCTATTTGCAGGGGTCTCTAAGATTAAGTCTCTACCTGCAAGGTGCAATACTGTATTTTTGGAATCCCAGCTAGGTTGAGTCTACGCTGGTTTGCTGTCAGGTCTCGGGTTGATTTAAGTATCTTTCTGCTTCTGTCCAAGGGCCTATATGACATGCCTCCTCAGTATCTAACCGATATGTAATCTGTTCCCTCCCTCCATGTGACCTTCATTTGGCTGATTCTGGTGTACCACGTTCCCTCTGTTCGTCTGCTCTCTATGGGAGATGGAGCCTCATTCTGCTGTGCCCGAACCTCACCTTCTGGCACACCATTCCAGAACACACTTTTTTTCCAGAAAGACTGTGGTGGTGGTTAGATCTTCTGAACCTGCTTTGTTTGCTTTGTAGTTTTCTACAAAAATGTGTGTATTACGTTCTTGATGTATTGTACTGGGCTTGGAGACAATTACTTTTAAAGGCACTGTGTCAATAAAGTGCCGATCATAGGCCTAATCATATTTCACTGCAGTGTGAAAAACTATTAAACTGGCAACAAATGACGCTAAGGAGCTGTTGTCCTTATTCATATTATATATTTTTTTCAGTTAAACACATCAGCTACAGAAACATTATTATTAATATAATTATTAATTCATGCTTTTATTTTGTTTTATTACTGTTGTTGTTCTTTTTATTCTGGTCTTAATATTCTGTAATATCTACAGCTACTGGCCTTATAACAGAATCAAAAGGGCTTGCATTACTCCTGTACTGGCTTCACTGCAGGGGCTTCCAGTGTGCTGTAGGCTTGATTTTACATTTCAGTTATTGGGACTGAGTGCAAAGCTCCTTAATTATCTGAGGCTATGACTCCTTGCTAGCATGCATACTCAATGGGATCAGCTGACAGTACACTGTGTCCCAGGAGTGAAGCACAAAGAAAGGAGAAGCTGATTTTGTTATAAAGTGCACGAGACTGACACTCACCTATTAGACATTCCTCCTTGCTGACAGCAAAGCTTAGTCACACTTTTTCTAAATAGTTTTCAGCTAAATTTAGTTCTCATTTTATGTTATGCTTTTGTTTTTGTCATTTTTAATGAATTTTTTCCTTATATTTTTTTCACTTATAGATCATCTTTATCTTTATTTGGATTAACTTTTCTTTGTATAGTGCTTTGGGTTTTTTCTAGCATGAAAGGTGCTATATAGTCAATTATTCTTACTGCTACTGCTGTTATTATTAAATCCCCTTTTGATTATTGATCGAGAGCAAGGTTAACAACATGGAACAAGGTGCCTTGAACAAGCTAGGCACCCAGTTTGGAGCAGACAGGTTCCATTGTCTGTTCGATCGCACATGGCCTTTCAGGACTCTGTTGTGGAGCTGCAGGGAGTCACCTGAGCTGTGTATTTCAGGACTGGGGTCGGCTGTGCAGCCCGACCACGCCTGCAGCAAACACACGTGCTCTGGTTACAAACTGCACTCAGATTCCTCCAGACGAAATTAGCACCGCTCTTGTGGGGGAGGAGAGCATGCTATCAATGTTAGCTGCATCAAACAGGAGAAAAAAAACCTCTCCTGTAACTTGCTGTCTTCTGGGACCCTTAAGTCGGCATCCCGAAACAGTAATGCAGAGCTTCACAACTTCATTCTGCTGTGTGATTTTCTTCCCAGTGAAACACAGGCGCAGCAGATTAAGTTTGGTGGCAGATACTTCCTTATTATAGCCCACAGAAAGTTATTTCAAAGTGAGGGGTACATTCCTGACTCATTCAGAAGAACAAGGACGAGTGTCTTCTGTACTGTTTTAAATCTTTGTCAGATAAAGAGCTAGATCCCAAACAGGCGTGTGTGTTTGTGTGTCTCTCCCTGACTCTCCTTCTCTCTCTCTCTCTCTCTCTCTCTCTCTCTCTCTCCCTCCCTGTAGGGCCCTCTCCATGGATATAGACACAGACTATGAGCGGCCCAACGTTGAGACCATTAAGTGTGTGGTGGTAGGGGACAACGCGGTGGGCAAGACGCGGCTCATCTGTGCCCGTGCCTGCAACGCCACACTCACACAGTACCAGCTCCTCGCCACACACGTGCCTACTGTATGGGCCATTGACCAGTACCGTGTGTGCCAGGAGGTGAGACCTCACGGATGATAATGATGATGATGATGATGATAATCATGGAGAAAACGTTTATTTATACAGTGCTTTTCCAAATCTAAGGACAGTGTACATAGTGATATAGAAAAAGACAAGTACAAAAATAAATTAAAATAATAAAATTAAAAGAAAAAGTTCAACAAGAACATACAGGATAGAATGTGGGGCAATCAGACATAGTTGAAAGGTGATTTTTGAGTTTAGATTCTTGAAGAGAGTCAAATGTCTGAGATTTAGTCCTGCAGTAGGTACAGTGAGCAAAGGACCAGCCTCAACTGAGCAGGGCCTTCAAGAGGGAGTGCAGACATGAAGGAGTTCACAGATGTAAGATACAGCCAGATTATTTCAGGCCTTAAAAGCCAGTAACAAGATCTTATATCAATGCGTGACCTTACAGGCAACCATGCTGCTAGTTCTGGTGTGATTGGTGTGAGTTTGTAGCCTAGCTGCAGAGTTCTGGCCGTCTTGCCGCTCACTGAGAAGAGTGTTTGGGAACCTGAAGGGGTTCAGAACGAGATGAAGCCAGTCTGAGGTGATAGTGTGTCAAGGTGCCTCTGTGTTTGTGTGTGTCCCCCAGGTCCTCGAGCGCTCTCGTGATGTTGTGGATGAAGTCAGCGTGTCCCTGCGGCTGTGGGACACCTTTGGGGACCATCACAAAGATCGGCGCTTCGCTTATGGCAGGTAAGGCGACACCGTGCCATCTCAGTGCTCTTTGGGCAGCTTGTTGAGCCTTATCTAGGCAGGCTAGTCGGGCTCAGCGATCAAGTGCTTCAAGCCAGTGTTGCAGCCATGGGTCTCCGGACTTCCCCTGAGACTTCAGGAGAACGGGGCCTGAGCTGCAGAGTCAGCCTACTGCCGAGTCTTCGGCGAGTCCGAAAGCTAGCCCACCTGGGAAACCAGAACCGAACGTCCGGTTGACAGACTCTGATGTCGCTCCCTCTCAGGGTCTGACTCTCAGGGCCACTGAGGTTAAGGTGGGGGGTCAAAGAGGACTGAGACCTTTTCATCTAGAAGAAAATAAGGGCTGGGAAATAACATAGGAGCATAAGATTGGCTGAAAGCCTTTGTCTTGTTCGTATCCTGTCTTTTTCTTTGGTTCCAAGTTGCTTAATTTTGCAAGAAACCTTTTTTAGTGAATCCCATAGAGTCACAGTGTTTGAAAATTATATAACCCAGCTTTCCTGGGACACAAAAAATATAGCAAACATGCCTGAGTCGAGAATCTAGAAATGTTCTCATTATTTAATGCTGCAAAATCAGAGTATTTTTGCTTTTGGATGTTTGTTCAAGAATTTTGTATTCTGTCTAACTTACTGCCCTTCCTCAGTGGGGCAGGGGCAGTGCAGGGGGAGTTTTTTTTTAAATAATATTGTATTATTAAAAATATTGTACCACAAGTAGTGTTATAATTATAATTGCTAACGCTTATATAGCGCTTTTCTCAAAGCGCTCAAAGGACTTTACAGGTAATGGGGATCCTCTCCACCACCACCAGTGTGCAGCCCCACCTGTATTATGCAACAGCAGCCATAGTGCACCAGTACACTCCCCACACACCAGCTATTAGTGAGGAGGAGAGCAGAGTGATGAAGCCAGTTCAGAGATGACTGGTAAAGGCCAGGGGGAAATTTGGCCAGGACACCCCTACTCCCCTACTCTTTTCAAGAAACACCCCGGGATTTTTAATGACCACAGAGAGTTGGGACCTCTCATCCGAAGGACGGCACCTTTTTACAGTATAGTCTCCCCATCACTATACTGGGGCATTAGGACCCACACAAACTGCAGGGTGGGTGCCTCCTGCTGGCCCCACTAACACCTCTTCGGGCAGCAACCTTAGTTTTTTCCCAGGAGGTCTCCCATCCAGGTACCGACCAGCCTCACACCTGCTGAGCTCCAGTGGGCTGCCAGTTGAGTGTAGTGCAAATGCAGAACCAGCCCGTCACCTATGTAGTATTGTGTCGGTAAGTGCATCTCAGTACAGACATTAACTGATGCCATGCAATCATTAAAACGTGATGTACATGACGCTAGTCCTCCACTTTGCCACTTGTATTGCTGTGCGCATGTGTGTGTTTTCAATGTGGCACCAGATCAGAAAGAATTACTTCTCCATAACATAGAAAGCACAGATGGAGTATATAGGAAAGTTTTCACTGCAGTTAGTTTTAAAATCCTGTTTGCACCCACCCTCCAGCTCATGCCTCTTAACACTATGTGATTTGTGCATGATACTGTTGACCTTCTGTAATGCACAACAGCTGGGAAAGTCCCCGTAATACACAGGTTTTTCTTCACTGACAGACAGCTGGAATATGGAATACTTGTTTGCCCTTTCATTATTTACACTTCATTTTCAGGCTCGCAAATGTTTGCACTGGGCGTGTAAATGCTGTAACTACTGTATTTGCACGGCTGGTGTGTAAAAACTTCTGGAGTTCTCTGTCCCTGAGGCACTTTATCGGTGTCACCCAGGAGTGGCTCCCAGGCTGAGAGTCTCCAGTTTTGCTCTGACCATTCATGGACTTAATTTCCTCGGGGTGTGACCCGGTGCTGGTCCTGTTTGTGATCTTGACGCCCCGGGTTGCATTGGTCGGTGACATTTGCGATTTTGTAGACTCGCATCAAGTTCTTTTTTAAATCTCCTGTTTCCAGGCTACAAATAGTCAATTCCTTGGATGGATGTGATGAAATAGAGGGACAGATATAAATACAGGCAACTCTTTTATACCATGTATGAACATATTTCTCCCGTGTTTAAAAACCATCACTGGCTGCAAGTCTCTTAGGCTGCAAGAATAGACTGTAAAATGATCTTGTTGATCTGTCAGGTGTTGCATGGGCTGCCTCCTGTGTGGCTTTGCTCCTGCGTGGGTCACTATCCCTTCATATCCCAGTTCATTCCCTTTGTTTTGCTGGTTCAACATTCCACAGACTTCACATTGTACGTTAGGAGACCTTGGGTTTTCAGAGGTAACCCCCCCTCCCCCGTCTTTGGAAAAACTCCTCCTGACCATATTAAAAATGCAGCTTCTGTTGATATTTTTAAATCTCGCGTTAAAATTCACATGTTTTGGATGGCCTCTTATTTGGAATATTTTTCTATCTTTTATTTAGACTGTCCTGTATTCAAAAGGCACTGTAGAATAATATTCATTGATTGACCTACAGTATGGTGTTAATTCAGAAATGAGACTCCCAACAGTGGGTCAGCGCAAAGGAAGTCTGCTCTTTCCTTAAGTCCATGTAGGTAACTTGTCTTGTTGTTAGAGGTCTTTGGATCCATCTGACTTGTCAGGTTAACCGGTAAGTTAACTGATCCAAGGCTTTGGGTCTTGTCCGCCTTTTCCCTGAAACAGGGAATTGGTTTCAGTAACATGGCAGGACAGCTTGTTCCATATCCCCTTGCCCTTTATGTAAAGAAGTGCCTCATGTTCTCTGCTTCACTGTAATTTTGACTTTTGTCATTGGGTTCTTGTTGCGCTGTTGTTCCTGAAGAAGGGCACTAGGCTGACTTTTAAAAATGGTAAATATTTATTTTAGGTTCCGTCATCTCAGTGGAGGTCTTCAAGCACAAAAAGATTAAGTTATTTTATCCTTTCAGTTGAGCCCCGAAATATATCTGATTGCTCTTTGGACTACTTCTCTAGCTGCAGTATTGTTTGCAATGTAATAACAGATATTTTGCGCAGTTTTGTAAATGAGGCCTTACTGGGGCATGGTGAACTACGTTCTTATAGATTTAGAGCTGCAAGTCATTTTACTATCCCCACCCAATATAAAATAACCCAATTGTCTTCGCTCGCTGTTATGAACCCTGTGATTGCACACAGGAGAGCCCGACCTGTAGCCATCTTCCATCCCGGTCATAGTCGGCTAGTGACCACATAGCCCAGCCTACGTACAGGCACCTTGAACTGCAGTTCAATATAACCTCCCCTATTTTTTTAATTTACGTTTTAATCTCTGTGTCCTCACACTACTTCCCCTTTTTTATTGCTTCCCCACATTGTCTGTTGTGTACACTTCGGGCTGCCGTGAGAGTCTGGAGCAAGCTACCCAGCCGTGCAGTCAGCTGACAGACACAGTCAGCTGCTTTCTCACCTCTCTGTCGCCTGGCCTGCTTTAGCTTTCCTCAACCCCAGGGAGCTGAGGTTTCGTCATTTCATTTCATGTGTTATGTCTGAGCTTTTCCGCACATTTGTCTTTATGGAGCTGGGGGGTATTTGTACACAATAAAGAAAGAGAGTGAGGTGTATACTGTAGCCGCAGCAGGTTAGACCGGAATCATGCAGGGTCTCCCAGAGTTTTCTCAGAGCTAGGTCTGCCATCCGGTTAATAATCTATTGGCGGTTATTATTTTAGAAATGGATTGAAAATATTTGTTTTTATTACTGCTCTTTGTTATCGCTGCTATTGACGTCTGGCTATTCAGCCTTGCGATAGGATTTCTTTAGGCATTTTAAGGAAGATGGCAAGCGTTTTCAGTGTTTTGTTTTGCATTCAGAATCGGCAGTTATTTGTCCCCTCTCGTAGTCTTTAAGTGGGCGGGACAGAGACGAGCTCGGTCCCTGGGGAGGGCTCCATGGCATTCCATGCGGGTGCTGGTGCTTGGGAAACTAGAATTTCAGCAGTGTCTGTACACACTATCCGGTCCCAGACGTGTTTCCCAGACGCACCTCTGAACGCGTGATGGAGGCACAGCCTGGACTGGAACTGGCATCGCTGCACTGTGAGGCCTGGCTTGCACTCTGTGCAGAGCTGTTGCACTGTTCAGCAGATCTGAATGCTGTTGTTGTTTGGAATGGTGCTCTGTACCTGGGACTGGGACTCCCTGATAGCACAGGCTGTGACGTCCAGTGGAGTCACACAAGGCCTCACACGCAAGACGGGGCAAGATATGCTGTATGCGCATTGGAAACACTCCCTGCGAAAAATAGGCAGGGCCTTGGCTACAGTCTGCACAGTTATTGATACCAGACCAGCAGGCTTCAATCAGCCGCAACGTCATGTAATTTTCCATCTTCTCTCCATAAAAGACCTGCAGCATCCAAATCGGGCATCCCTTCCTCACCAGATTCCCGCTGTATTTTCTCTGTGGGTTTCCAGGTTATCTCCAAAAGACTACAGAAATCCTTATGGATTTTAACTGCCATGTCGTTTGTTCTGCAATGTCTTGCATCCTTAGTATGGGAGGAACAAAGCAAAAAAAGTCAAATAACAATATTCCAATTACTGTGCAATAGCAGTAATGATGGAAAATAAAGTAAAAACCTACTGAACAGTTGGGAACAAGTTTAAGCATCTTTAAAAATATACTTTAACCAAACCCAAAGTGCTACAGTGTGTGCAGAATGTTTATACAGTATATATTTTCGATGAGGAAAGCAGTTGGCATCCTTCTACACCCTTCTTCTAAGTTATTTTGTGGTTTTTCCAGGAGAAAGAATAGTTTGGAAAGACTCCCTCTCTGAAAGTGTGCCTTGTACTTTCCCATGGTTTTCCATGCCTGAACCATTCTCTCGTTTTGCCATGGTTTCCCAGCTCTCCGCCATGCTGTTCCAGTCCGCCTTGTGCTTCTGCGTCATGTCACTGTCATGTGCGCAGGTGTACTGTATTTGTACCAGTGAGGTTCTCGTGCACTTTATACGTCTCGTTGTCCTTGTGCCAAAGAGGTTTTGGGGAACTGCCTCATTGGGTCATCCAAATTTACTGAGGGGATTGAGAGAATTGGGATCGTGATAGGAAATGGAGGTACCGGTAAAAGTCTAGGCTCTTGCTTGCTTAATATTGAATATTGAACTGATACGACCTGCTTCTTTTAAGTACTTTCCAAGAACGCCTTAGAAGTGAATTAGACCGTGCTGGGAATTTGATCTCGGCTGTTATAAATAAGACTTTATGAGATTGCGTAACATTTCAGACATGACCCATAAAGTTGGGAGCTAGAGCACAAAGTCGTATGATCCATAATTTATGTCTGTAAATCGCGTGTGTTTATCTTGCTATTAATAATTAATACCAGTAAGAGCATGTATCGCATGCGTGTACGAGTGTGCCTGCGTGCTACAAGGAGCGTGCTGTTGGTATGTGAGCTCCCAGCTTAAGTGAACACGTTCCTGGAGCTCGGACCAGCAGGAAGGAGGCTCTCTGGCACTGCCAGGCGTGGGTAGTGTGCAGCAGAAGAGAACCAGGCGTGTTTGAGCTGTGTTATCATTACAGCCTGTCAGGCCTGCCTCTCTGGCTGCGTGCTTGATACCTTGTGCAACTGAGAGGCTCCTTTCTAAATTGTTGTTTCCTGTCCTCTGGGAGTCCTGCCTTTCACAGCGGTTAGATTGTCTCTGGTCAAGCTCACTTTCATAATTTCCCTGCCACATAACTATTTATTGCATGCCTTGTGTTTGTGTAAGCAGAGTAAACATAAAACCATTTTTACTCTTCTTTTGACTTGAGAGTCATGTTAAATGGTCCCGTTGGAGCTCTTAAGTTTATGGGCACACGACAACATATGCTCGTCATTACTTAATGCTCTATTACTTTAAACTTCATATGCCTGTGATGGCTGGGCGGTTTTCACTTTGCAGCCTCGTTATGAATGATTTATCGATCTCTCAGTACCACAGGGACTTGGGTGGAATGTCCCTCGCCAGCTATCTGAGAGGCTGCAGTGTGAGGCAGTTTTTGAGGTCTCTGTCCGTCCCTCTCCCTCTGTCCGCCAGGTCTGACGTGGTGGTGTTGTGTTTCTCTCTGGCCAACCCGAACTCCTTGCGCCACGTGAGGACCATGTGGTTCCCCGAGATCAAGCACTTCTGTCCACGGACTCCCATCATCCTCGTAGGCTGCCAGCTGGACCTGCGATACGCCGACCTGGAGGCTGTGAACCGAGCCCGCCGCCCTCTCGCCAAGTACGGCCCCCGGAGACCAGATCCTTAGATGCAGGCCTGTCGAGTCAGGGTCTGTAGTGAGTGCGCCCAGGGGACACAGTCCAGCCCTGCGGCTGGGTGACAAGCACTTGCCAGCTTCTCCCTGTACTCTGCTACCTGGCCTACTTTAGAGGCCTCTTTAAGATCCATCCGGCCCCCAGCAAACAAATCGTACTAATAAGTAATGGCATTTATTGAGCGGTTTACATCCCAAAAAGCTTAACGTATACAGCAGGAAACTGTTTCACCAATGGGATTGAAGGGGAAGCCCAATGTGGATGTTAGGCAGATCACTGTGTTTCCCTGGTTATGAATAGTGTCATCTATTCTTTAATGATCAAGTTATGAGGGCCTTGTCTTAAGGATTCATACAAAGGCAGGTTGTCATACTAGAGCATTTGTTTGGAAATTCTACTTTCTGCAATAACCTGCTTTTACTTAGAGATCTCCTGTTGCTGTACTGACCAGGCTCTGCCTTGCATAGCTTCACATAGGCTAGGACAGGGACATATCTAGACTCCACTGGAATAAGAGTATGCCATTATCCATTATCCAAGTGGGATTTGTGTCGTACACACCTGGAGACTGATGCTTGCCAAGTTCACCTCATGCTAGCCCACAGCCACTATTGATACAATGACTGATCACTGACACGTGCACTGGACACATATAAGATAAGATCACTTTATTACCCCTATACAATTTCTTGCATTAGGAATTTGTCTTTTCGCATACTCCAGCTTACTCTCCTTGAGACACAGACACGGAGAGAAGGCCTTGCTCAGGAGCCCAACGGAGTAGGATTCCTTTGCCGGCCGTGGGATTTGAACCGGCAACCTTCCAGCCACAGGCGCAGATCCTGAGCCACAGAGCCATGGCTCCGCCCAATATATGCGTATATACATATGGCACTGGACACAAACTGCACTGACTCTTATCCTGGACACGCACAGTACTGACTCGCGAACCGATACTTACACTGCACACATACATGGTGAAAACTGACAGTTCACAAAATAGACAGGAGAAGAGCCAAAAAACAGCATGGAATGATTCAGATGAAAATGAGCGGTGCAGTGCTGCAGGTTTTCACTGCGCAGCTTTAGCTCAGCCTGCGCTGTGCTCCTTGCTTTGCTCTCTGCCCTCACAAGCCTTTCTCCTGACCTTCCCTCCACTCTTCACCCCCCCTGTCCAGGCCCATCAAGCCCACGGACATCCTGCCTCCGGAGCGGGGACACGAGGTGGCGAAGGAGCTGGGCGTGCCCTACTACGAGACCAGCGTGGTGGCGCAGTTTGGCGTGAAGGACGTCTTTGACAACGCCATCCGCGCGGCCCTCATCTCGCGGCGCCACCTGCAGTTCTGGAAGTCCCACCTGAAGAAGGTCCAGCGGCCCCTGCTGCAGGCTCCCTTCCTGCCCCCCCGGCCGCCCCGGCCCGTGGTGGGCGTCCCCGACCCCCCGCCCAGCGCCGGCGAGGGCCCCGCCTTCCTGTTCGCCCTGCCCCTCTGCGCCGACGTGCTGTTCCTCCTGCAGGGCGGCGCCACGCGCGTCTTTGCGCACAAGGTCTACCTGGCCACGTCCTGCTCCAAGTTCTACGACCTCTTCACCCTGGACCTCGGGGGCGGCGCGGGGGAGGACCGGGGATGGGAGGGGGAGGAGGAAGGGGAGTGGGACGACGAGGCGGAGCAGACCCGCCGGGGGGCCAAAGAGCAGGCCGGGCGCACGAAGAGCCTGGACATAGACAAAGACAGCGAGGGCCGCGGGTCCCGCAGAACCAGGCAGCCCCTGCTGCTTCAGCAGGGCTCCCTGAAGGCCTCCCAGAGCGACTACGCCCTCCCGGCCAGGGTACAGAGCTCGGGGGGCCTGGAGGGAGCGAGCCGTGTGCTCTCCGGCTGGGGGCGCGGCTTCCAGAGCATGCGCCAGGAGCTGGTCGAGGACCCCGTGACGGGCAGGCCTAGACTCATGACGGTGGTGTCCATGGATGGCCTGATTCAGAAGAGACCCTTCCAGGTAGGTGAGGGTGCAGCCCTCCTTTTGGTGGCCCTTATTAAGGACAGGGCCCCTCTCATTCAGCCTTATGTGCTGTGGGGAATCTCGCGGGTCTGAAGACATGGGAGGTAATGCTAATGAACTGGGCCTTTCATGAAGATTCACTGGTTGCCCGAAAACTGTAATCCACCCCATTTTAAGTGCCCCCCCACTGTGGAATTTCCGGTTGTGACGTGGTCCCCACACTAGGAGCATGAGGAGGCGCAGACAGGCTCCTCCATCACATCCATCTATACTGTATATGCTGCTCATCTTTTTGGCATGCAGCCCGCTGCTCACTGTCTGCACATACCCTCCAGATCCACATTTTCCTGCATTCTTGTGACATGGGCAGTTTTTATTTGGAATGTTTCTGCGGGAAAAAAAAGAACATGATCTAATGACGTAGAACAAAGCTTGGTTTTGTTTGACAGAAAACAGTAGCACTGTTTATGTACTGTTTTATTACTGTCTGAGGGCACCCTGTGTGTTTTCAAGAGACGAGAGCAGCGTGTTGAGCTGTTCAGCCACTTCAGTGCTGAGGTGTTTGCAGTCACGCTCTCCTGGGGCTGGAGTCGAGAGTGAGGTTGTGCTATATTTAGTTATAGAAACAGAGACATGAGATGTTTTAGGTTGCATTTCCTTTCAAAAAGGCATGAAGAAGATTATATATAAACCAGCTACTATTAGTTCGTCATAGCTTTTTTTTCTGAGACTTTTTTACTTCTGAGCACTGCAGTCTCTGCATCTCAGCTCTCGGGAGCTGACTGGCCTGCCCGTGTCTGTCGCCCCCCCAGGCAGTGCTGCAGTACCTGTACACGGGCAGTCTGGACGAGACGCGGGGCGATCTCATGCAGGTGGCCACCATCGCGGAGCTGCTGGAGGTGTTCGACCTGCGCATGATGGTGGCCAATGTGCTGAACCGCGAGAGCTTCATGAACCAGGAGATCACCAAGGCCTTCCACGTGCGCCGCGCCAACCGCATCAAAGAGTGCCTCAGCAAGGGCACCTTCGCTGGTACGGTGCAGGCCCCACGCCCTTTCATCTGCCTGCTTCCTGTCTCACCTGTCTGCCCCGCCCCCT